CTATAGGAAGGGGGAATAGAAAAGTTACTTATAGATGAAAAGAGCCTTTTTATTTAGGCCATGTAATCTGTAGTTTTTTTCATGGTCTATGATTCAGACTTACTATAGGAAGAGCGTTTTTGATAGTTTCCCCCCTAGCATGTCAGCAAATTTTCTGTAGTCTATTGAAGCTTTGACCACATAATCCTTATCTTCTATTTTTTTCTTCACCATCCTCTTTTAAGTAGTTCTTCTGGAAAGCTGTACCAGCTCCTTAATGACTTCCCTGTGATCAGTTTGCCACCAATAGCATAGAATGCATCATCTAAAGCCATCTGTACATTCCTTCCTTGAGAGTCTACTATTCTTTGATGATATCAGGAAGATATTTGGCACAGTACAAGACAGCTTTTTATACCTTCATGCCTATCATAAACACAAAAACAGCTGTCTCAATTTCCAGCTTAAGAATATAGTTGTGAGTATATTTCTCTGGTCTCTTTCAATAATTTTTCTCGGTTCTATATTTTTAGTTTTTCATCCACGATATGCTGTGAGAATTTTCTTTAATGATCTTGGTATTTTCTTTTGGTGTTCTGGAGGCTTTTGGGGGTTTTTCTTTTATTTTGTTGTTGAAGATCTGATCTATGCCACTGATCTATGAATATTCACCCTAATCTATTCCTATAACTTAAAGGACTGATATTTCCATGGGTAAGTCATGTTCATTTCATGTGTTTTTATTTTTTTATAATATTCTTCTCTTATTTTGTCTTGATATCCTACTTTATCTTTCTGTCCTGGCATTCTATTTTTTGTTTTATTAATTTGATAATCAGGTTTTTTCTTGATTTTTCTACTTTGTTATTGTATTTTTCAATTCTATCATCATTTCATCTCAATTCTTCTTCACTATTTCTATTTCCTGATTGAGCTGCATTTTCAAATCCTGCATTGCATTTATCATTTTCACCAGGATTCTGCTTGCTCTTCTTGGAATCACTCAGGAGTTGGTTAATTTTTTAATTCCTTCTCTTTAAGTTCATTGAGTTTCTTCCTTATGTCTTTTTTAAACTTGAAACTTTGTTAATGAATTTTATGTATATAAGCACTTTATCTGCATGCACACCTATATACCAGATGAGGGCAAAAGATCCCATTATAAATGGTTGTAAACTGTGATGTAGGTGCTGGGAATTGAACACAAGACCTTTAGAAGAGCAGAGTATTCAGTGCTCTTAACCACTGTGATGTGAGAGAACTTCTGTCTATGTGTGGCTTTTATTGGTTAATGAATAAAAAAAAACTATCTTGGCTTGTTGATAGGGCACTGCTTACATGGGTGGAGAAAACTAAATTGAATGCTGGGAGGAAGAAGGGTGGAGTCAGAGGGAGCTTCCATGGAGCCGCCAGAGATAGATGTGCTGAAACTTTGCTGGTAGACCATAATTACTAGAAATGGTTAAATTAAGATGTAAGAGTTAGCCAATAAGTAGTTAGAGCTAATGGGCCAAGCAGTGTTTTAGTTAATAGAGTTTCTGTGTGATTATCTCGGGGCTGAGGAGCTGGTAAATGACAAGCAGCCCTCCTCCAACACCACTGAGTCATCTTCTCATCCTTGAGTTTTTTAAATGAAATTTATGAATGTTCTTTTAAATTATGTGTCCTGGGGTTCATCTTAGGCAATCTCATAGGCAAAAGTTTTATAGTAGTGGTGGGTTTGTATGGGTTATACTACCCTTATCTTTCATATTGATTTTATTTTTGCAACATGATCTGTGCATGCTGACTTCGTTTGTTAGTTCTATGTCTGATATGTGCAGAATAGTTTTGGATTGAATACAGGATGTGTTGGGTAGGTTGGGCCTAAAGGTTGGATATGGCTTAAATGGAATGAATACAGTTAGATACATGGAGATTTGCTGATGTGAAGGAAATGTGTCCTGGTCCAAGATTGGAGTCAAAGGGAAGATCTGTAACTGGAGAGGGTGTATGGCAAAATGATCAGGTTGAGTTACTCTGACCAACCATACAGGATATGGTTGAAAATGGAGTTTGGAAAGTGGTTCAAAGGGTATGTAGGTTGAAGGGAGATGAGGGGTATGTCTTGACCAGGGCCTGGAAGTTTGGATTCACACAGAAGGAGTGGCTAAATCAAGGTACAAGGTTTCAAAAGTGTGCAGGGATGCCCACTTTTATTTGGGTGCTGGAAATCTGAACTATTCAGGTCTTCATTCTTGTGCTATAATTGTTTTTACCTGCTGAACTGTCTACCTAGCTCAATATAATAAATCAAAGAATTCAGAAAAATCAAGAATGTAGAAATATATGAAAATATGTAAATTAACCAAAGACACACAATAACTATGATGAAATTCATGATTTTATATGCATAAATACATAAATATACATGTCATGTAAAATGAATATTAAGAGCAAATAATGTGAAGGCCAGTCAAGAAGTTCCACATATACACATTAAAATAAGGATATGAAGGACAAACAAAATTAGGAATAATATTTAAGAACCACAGAATACTGAGTAGGATTCTCTTTAATTAAAGGAAATATATGATGAATTGAAGAGGCTCACTACGAGACTACTAGCAAATGATGAATTTTACAGTAAATTTTTTTTGCTACAAGGTGTTGAGACAATATATTTTAGAATATAAAGGGAAAACCATGGTTCAAAGTAAAGGTCAAGATATAGTAGGTAATCTAATTCACCCAAAGCAACATAGCACATTATAACACATTTAAATTTTTCTGAGGAATAGCGAAATAAACTACTTATACCCTAAAATTGTATGCCCAGGAAACATCAAGATAAATAATAAAAACAAAGTCAAGAAAATGATTTCTTCAAATGCTCATGTTGTTTAAGAAACAGAACCATAAGTTGACAGACAGACAGACATAGAAAGGGAGACAAAATACATAGATATATGAGAGAGAGAGAGATGATAGATAGAGACATATAGATAATAGATAGATGAGAGTTAATTTATCAAAACAATTTGTACACACGGTCTTATATCTGATAATTTCCTATATTAACAGACTGCAACAGGAATACTTAGGAAAATAGGTGGTATGTCTGAATGAAAGTTTAAAGGCTTGAGAATAGTGAAGTAAAGTGTGTATCATATTGTTACTAGAAGAAAACATAACTATAAAATATTGGTACTTTAGACCATTTTTACAGAGCCACATACTGTACCACAACAATCTGTATATAGATTGAAAACATGTGTGAAAGTATGCCTGCGTACTACTGTATGTGCTGACATAGTTCTGCAGTTTGCCCAAATGTAAATACTTAGCAATACCAGACAAAGTGACTCTTTTGAGACTAAGACAGGAAGGGATAATTAGTAACGTCACTTTTCATTTGATTACTTGTAATGCAGTGAGAAGGGAATAATGCATCTAAAAATTATAGAAATGTGACTCTTCCTTGAATCACTATTCTTTTAGGAAGGGAGGCTTATGGAACATATGGTTAGCAATAAAGAAGCAAAAATGCATGGTCAGTTCTAACCTTAGAAGAGCAAATCAAAAGCATGTTTAAAATTTTACCTTTTATTGACACTAACAGCAAAGCAGGGAATGACCTGACGCTGCATGTGCATTCCTCCCTGTGACTTATCTTTTATTTGTTTCAAATATAAAAATTTCCAGTGACTCTAAGTAAGCTCAGCCAAGGAGCTTTGGTACAACCTTCCTATTCACATTCTGTTTTATATGTATGTATGTATGTGAATGTGTGTATAATCATTTCATATATATATATATATATAAAATGAGATGTATGTATATGTACATACACAAATGTGAAAATCAGTGGTGACAATTGTGTGTTGTTTCTTGGGAGATGTTAAGCTTATTTTTTAGAGATAGTGTATTTCACTGGGAAACATAGAACACTAATTAGGCTGGGTTTGATGTCTAGCAAGCTCCCAGGATCATTTGTTCTGTCTTTCCAGTGTTGGTATAACAAGCACACACCACCAGGCCTGGACAATATATATATTCCAGAGATTGAATTTTGGTCCTCAGGTTTGTGTGGCAAGCACGTTAGTGAGTGAAATATCTCTCCAGCATTCTCTCTTGAATTCTCTAAGCTTCACAATATGTGCAACAACCTGGTGTGTTAGGAACTCTATTTTCTTTTGTTTTTTTACCTAAATTGTAATTGGGTCTAAGAACAGGTACACAATTCAAATATATTTATTATTGAAAACATGCAGAAGATCAGTCCCAGTGTCTCAGTGGGTGGATGCACCTCTCGTAGTCCTGACTTCCTTGCTCATGTTTTCCCTCCTTCTGCTCCTCATTTGGACCTTGAGAGCTAAGCTCCAATGTGGGTCTCTGTCTCTGTCTCCATCCATCGCCAGATGAAGGTTCTATGGTGATATGCAAGATATTCATCAGTGTGGCTATGGGACAAGGCCAGTTCAGGCACCCTCTCCTCTGCTGCCCAAGGCACAATCTGGGGACCTTTCCTCGGACCTGGGAACCCCTTTAGAGACAAGTCTCTTGCAAACCCTAAAATGGCTCCCTTAATTAAGATATTTACTTCCCTGCTCCCATATCCATCCGTCCTCCATCCCACCCATCCCATTCCCCCAAGCTTTCCCGATCTAATGGGAGCTCACCAAGACCAGCTGGACTGGGAGTGATGGAGCATGTGAACAAACTGGACACTCCGAATGTGACTGGCAATGAAGGCTGACTGAGAAGCCAAGAACAACGGCACTGGGTTTCAATTCTACTGCTTGGACTGACTTTGTGGGAGCCTGGTTTGTTTAGATGCTTACCTTTATAGACCTGGATGGAGGGGGGAAGACCTTGGACTTCCCACGGGGCAGGGAAACCTAACTGCTCTTAGGACTAGAGAGAGGGGGGGAGGTAGGGAGGGGAAAGGAAAAGGGAGGCAGTGAGGAGGTGGAAATTTTTAATTAATAAATAAATAAATTACAAAAATAAAATAAAAAAGAAAACATGCAGAAGAAAAATGACTATGAATTCTTTTATTATATTAGTTAATTTACAGTGAAGTTCTTTTTTAACTGAAGACCAGATACACATTAGCACAAGGGTAATAACACAGTAGCAACGAATAGAAAATAGCAATATACTTATTTGTGCAGTGATTTCAGGAATTGCAAAATGGTTAAAAGGTGCTTTATGGGTCTTGACAAATGGTAATACATGAGAGATGGGAAGGACATGCTTTCTCTGATGGGGAAAGAGGTGGATGATGGTCTAGAGTGAAAATGTAGAAAACAACACAACCTGGGCCATAAAGTCAGCTCTTCTTTAGACAGGAATAAAACAGAGCTGGTAAGGGGGTGGCAGAGTAACAAATCCATTGGCCACTGGGGTCGTATCAACATCCTTAGCACTAACTAGAGATTTCAACTTAAAGTTCTGTAAAATGGTAGTCAGGAATATAAACAGCTCCATTCGTGCCAGGCCCTCTCCTGCACAAATCCGTTTTCCTGGGGGCAGAGGGAAATCAAAGATTACTATTCTCATTTGTAACTGTGATAATCACTGCAATTGTAACTGACACAAGAGACTATAAATGAAGAGTAAATTATTGGATGGGTAGGTAGATGAATGGCTGCATGAAAGGACAAAAAATGAGTCAAATAGAAAAACAGAGAACAAATTTGAGTCTCAATTAACCTATACTATTAATAAATACACTGTTCAAAAATACTTTTTATGTTAGTGTGGTTGTTCACATCTGTAATCAGACTGCCTTGAAGACTGAGGAATAGGGATTCTATATTAATTATCAAAAATAACAAAACAAAGGACAGAAGCTATATATTCAAAGCAGAATACATATGGGAGGTATAGACTCAATATACATTACTCTTATCTTAAAAGGGATTCCTTATTATCTTTGCAGACTGTCCTACAACATCTACAATATCTCCATCATCTCATGATGATCTTGGCATTTCTGGAATGCTGAACTGAGTAAGAATGCTCTGATTTAGGAGTTCATGAACTTTTTTAATGATAAGTGATTTCTTCTTTTAATTCTCTACTAATTTTGAGGAATCTAGAAAGTAATTTATAAGTATATTGCTCCATTTTTGCATTAATATGGAAAGTTGGAGAGATAAATATGTTGATTATATCCTCAATAACCCAGAGATCTGTGGGTCTTTCTCATTGTCCTAGTCCAGATAAATTTAAATAAGTATTATTCATTCATGTGTTACCAAGTACACTTGGGGCTCTCTGATAATTTTCAGTATTTTTGGAGACTTGTAATTGCATAGTTGAGCATGAGGGAGTGACTTAGCAAAAAAGACCTGAATATAAACTTAATAAAAACATAGTTTTTACGGTGAGTTAGTGTACTGTGAATGGACTTTGCTTTCTTTGGTATTTCTGTGATGTAAGCTAAATAAAGAATACGAACACCCTACAGTCTAATTTTCTCAATTGTGAACAATGGATGAACCCTCAAAACCTCACTTTCATAACCTGACAGAGAAGAAATCTCTTTACCATGACATGCACAAACACTCTTGATCACTGGCCATTAGGGAGCCACTATGTAAGCCTCCACAGATCCTCATGTCCATGGAAATGAATTTCTATTACCTGTTGAAAATGGCACGAAGTAGTCGCTTTTCTTAAAGTTTCCATTCTTATCGAGAAAGTGGCCAGGGTCAAATATCTCTGGGTTGGGGAATTCTTTGCTGTCATTCAGCACTGATGACAGTGATACTGTTACCATTGTTCCCTATAACAACATAAAGAAATCAAGTTAAAAAGAAATCATAGAACAAATCAGGAAAACAACCTAGTTCACCTTCTGCACCATAGTAAGAATTAAGTACAAAGAACAGCAGGAACATTTCAACACATAGAGCAGTTAAGTAGCAGAGAGGAGTGTGAGGTCAGGCACAGTGGTGTGGCTAACGTGCCTTCAGTGACATTTCACATGAGTACTTGAAGTCAAACTTCTGAGTCTCTTCTTCCTTTTCTTCAGATTTAACTCATGCTCCTCTGACCACTGGCTGCTCTAGTTCATCACATCTTTCTACGTACATCTCATGTGAATCATTTTCCAAGTGGAATAATTCATTGAGTGCTTTGGACAGAATAGGAGGTCATTCATTATGTACAATAGGGAAGATTTGGAAAGATGAATGCATCTCCTTTTTCTCTCATTTATAGAATCTATCTATCTATCTTTGTATTCATATTATAAGAAAGTAACTGCAGGGCTATGTGCCAGAGTAGACGTGTCATCTTGTTTATATTCTATCTGTATGAATTCACAAGTACAAACACAGAAATGAACATATGTATATGTGTCAAAAATAAAGGATGCAATCACTTTGGGAGAAGGAAATGGAGGAATGGAATGCAGAGGAAAGGGAAACAATAAAATAAAAATATGATAAAGGTAAGTTGATCCAGTAACAGCTAAATCAATAAAACTTCTGGAGCTACACAGAAATTACTGGGAGGTGGTGCTGGCAAGTTCTCTTTAACTAGGACACAAACTAACCTTATATCATTTCAAAGTTTTTAGGGATGTGGTCTACAAATATTTTGCAAGGTTGTCCGCCACACATATTAGAATGCAGTTCAACTGTATTCTGAAATTGTGAAACTTAGAAGAATATTACTGATATATGTGAATTATGTGAAAATTAACTTCTAGTGCCAATAGGCATTGGACTTAGTATATTCATAATCACTTGTTCATATGTTTCCTGTGACTGCTTCTCTGCTGCAATGAGAGTTTCTTAAGGGGCAACATAATCTTCTTGACCAAGAAAGGCTGAAATCTTTGAGAACCATTATGGCAAAGATCATTTTTTCTTTATATCTGTTAGTTCTGCTGAGATCAGTGCTCCATTATGATCTAAAAAAATCATTTGTATATTTGTCAGAAGGTAAAATCAGCTGTGAAACCACCAAGTTGTTTCACAAAGGAGAAGAATGAAATAATCAATTTCATTAGACCCATAAGAGACCAGTCATATAAACCTTCAGGCGAGAGATGACAGGATATAAGTTTAGCTGATACAACACTCACCTCAAAATAGGATTTAAACACAAAGAAGTTAGGAGGAGATATGCCGTTCCTAGTTTGTCCTTTGTTCTACTTACTATTTAGTTGTCTCTAAGGACATAGCATTAACAAGTTTTGCATATTGGTCACAGACCTCAACAGTCTTACCTCAGGAGTGTTCTTTAACTGAACAGAGCAGACTGACAGCCTAATCCATATACTAAGTCTGTCATCGTACAGCAAAACCCACTGCCACCTGGCAAAGTAAGTTCTATCATTTCCTCATGATGTTAGTAACTGGAACCTTAACAATATAGTTTGCCCATTCCCCAAAATACAAGACATCCCAGAGAGAGTAACTACAACATTTGTGAATGAGTTATTGCTATAAAAATTTGTATTTTTCATCTGCAGTTTTTGGTGTCTTCAATGTAACACTAAGTGGCCACAGAAATGAAATAAGTACAAACATAACCACATCAGTGAACATTTTAAAATCATTTTTAAGCCAACAGCTTGGTTTTAATAAAAAATCTCTAACAAGATTTTGGAAGAAAAACTATGAACAGAATTTTCTTAAGATAGAAATAATAGGCAACATGTAGTGGAGAAATCCAAAATAAATATATGCTATAACATATACAGTCAGTGATTATGAGTAAACTCATAAAACATATAGAGGACAATTTTGAAAATAATGTACAGACTTTTGTGATAAAATTCATCTCAAAGTAAAAATCTGTGTTCCTCGGTCATGCTCATGCATAATTGGCTCCATAATAAAGTATCTCGTACATGCTTAAATAAATCAGACCAAAATTTTTCATCTGATCTACACAATTATCAGTACAAAACTTCAAATAGGTAATTAAAGTCACTATCCTTCATCCTAATCAGAAATGAGACAAGTGATACACATTGCAAACATGTCTGTTCATCACTATCCTGCAATTCATCATACAGAAGAGAAAGTAAGAACACAGTGGTGTGGAAGAATTGTCTGTATTCTGTCAATCATATTTTAATAAAACGCTGATTGGCCAGGCAGGCAGTATAGGCGGGAAAGCCAGACAGGAAGTAGGGGTGGAGCAAAGAGACTGGGAGTATTCTGGAAGCAGAAGCTCCCTCTTCCACTTCTGCACAGACCAACAAAGAGGCAGCATGTAACTTGCCCAGCTGAGAAAGGTATAGAGTCATGTGCTAACATAGATAAGGATAATGGGGTAACATAAGTTATAAGAGCTAATAAGTAGCCTGCCCTAATGGGCCAATCAGTTTATAACCTTATGGAGTCCTGTGTGTGATTTCTCTTTGGGATTTGCTGGTTGTGGGGTACCGGGCGGGGCGGAAACCCCAACAAGCCGGCCCCTCATGTTACATATGGTGCCCAGACGTGGATAACTGAATCCACAGAAAGCCTGAGAAAGTTTGGGAAAGAATAGAGTAAAGCATGTTTTCTTGGTAGCAGCAATTTCTTGGGTCTGCTCTGCCTGCTAGAGGCAAGCAAGCACTCTCATCTAAGAGAGGTTTCCTGACTCAGCTTTAGCTGCAAAATCATGCAGGTCTTTTAAGAGGTCCTGCCATGAAACACTTAAACGGTGTTGATGAAAAGCTGAATGCATGCTTTTCGGTTTTCAGCCGTAGCAGGAAGAAAGCTGCGCTGTTTTAAAATGCTGATTTTCTGGGCTGTCCTGCCAGGTCAAACTCTGACTCTTTCAGGCAGGCAGTCCGACTGAGTGTGGTCTGTGAGCAGAATGATGCAGCTTGCTTGCTAGCAAGGACCTTGAAACGCCATAGAGTTGTGGCAGTAAACTGCAGCTCTGGCTGGTATCTCAGCCATGAGGCTACAAAGCTAAGGAATGAGCTGGATCTAGCTGTCAAAGCCACGGCTCTCCATATTGCTTAGTAAATTAAAGGCTTATGTAGTCAGAAAAAGAGAGATATACAGTAAAGAGAGATTCAAAGATGAAGAAAACCTCTAAATGGTTTACAGTGTGTTAAAAATATATGCAGGCTAAAAGGTTAAAGTCATTAAAAATAAAAAAAGAAAGAAAGGGAGAAATAGGGTGTGATGGTACACACCTTTAATCCCAATGCCTGGGAGGCAGAGGTACATGGACCTCTGACACTTTAAGGGGCAGAGGTAGTTGACCTCTGTGACTTCAAGGTGTGGTAGCACACAACTTTAATCCCAATGCCTGGGAGGCAGAGACAGACAGATCTCTGAGTTTAAGGTATGGTAGCACACACCTTTAATCCTAGCACTGGGGAAGCAGAGACACGTGGATCTCTGTGAGTTCAAGGTGTGGTAGCAAACACCTTTGAGCCCAGTATTGGTAAGGCAGAGACAGAGGGATCTCTGTGAGTTCAAGGACAGCCTGGTCTACAGAGTTATTCCAGGACAAAGATATACAGAGAACCAGTCTCAAAAAGTAAAAGTAAAAATAAAAGAAATAGAGGTTAAAATAAAGCTGCATAAAGATGAAAAATACACAGAGAATCTTGATACTGTATATTATTATGCTCTCTTTTAGTTGTTTGAATGCTGAAAAAGGAGCAACAGTCACCAAAAGACATTTGCTTATAAATGCTGCTGAATTAATCCAAGATAGTTATTTTGAAAATACCTTGGCTTCAAAATTGAAGTCAAATGGTTTGTTACTTTGGAGAAGAAATTTTGCTTTTGTTTCCTCAGAAAATGAGAGACTGTGGATTTATTTTGAGTTAAGAAAAATCCGGTTGACAAAGGACGACCACCTGAGAAATCTCTGGTAGGAACAGATGGCCTGGATACAGAGTTCTACATCCAAAACAGATTCAGGATTGCTGCCTGCAGTGATCAAGACTCACAGGATACTCCAGTCAGGACTTGATGATAATTTTCTTTAGTTCCCCATAAGATTATCAGCACCCCCAACCAGCAGGAAGTAGCCTGAAATACTAGGCCAACTTTCCCAACAAATGGACTATGGGTATTTTCCTTTGTTTAAAAAAAAAGAGGGAAATGGTGTGGGAGAATTGTCTGTATTCTGTCAATCATATTTTAATAAAACGCTGATTGACCAGGCAGGCAGTATAGGCGGGAAAGCCAGACAGGAAGTAGGGGTGGAGCAAAGAGACTGGGAGTATTCTGGAAGCAGAAGCTCCCTCTTCCACTCCTGCGCAGACCACCAAAGAGGCAGCATGTAACTTGCCCAGCTGAGAAAGGTACGGAGCCATGTGCTAACGTAGATAAGGATAATGGGGTAACATAAGTTATAAGAGCTAATAAGTAGCCTGCCCTAATGGGCCAATCAGTTTATAACCTTATGGAATCCTGTGTGTGATTTCTCTTTGGGATTTGCTGGTTGTGGGGTACCGGGCGGGACGGAAACCCCAACAAGCCAGCCCCTCATGTTACAACACAGGAATATGAAATGTACATAGAAAACTACTAGCCCACATGACACCTTCAATTTCAAATATGTTTATATAAACATTGTTAGAAATAATAAAATTCACTTGTTCAGATAAAAGCAAGGCCAACAAAGTGTTTGCATAAATTGTTTCCATTAAGCAAATGGAAAGAGTAGCAGAGGCGATACTAGAGAAAAGATATTCAATGTTAGGAAGCCTCTAATAAGATACTTACACGCTGCATAAATGAAAAGAAACAAGACAGATAAATAAACATCACAAATAAATGATTGATTGGCATAACCTTATTGATGAGCTGAAGTTCCAGGCTATCAATTCCTCCCAATTTAAAGATATTTTTTTTCATAATGATAAAAATCCAGAAAAAAACTTTTGAAAAGCTGACAAAATGTTGAACTTGCAAATAAAAATACCTAAGTTCTGTCAGACAGTATTTGGAAGAGACAGCAAATGTGGAAATATCATTACCAGTTATATCTGCACCTGCAGCAGAGCTGCCCCTCTGATCACTAAACAGGATAAACCAGCAGCACTGAATAACTCAGATAACAGTGGATAACACTGTGAACCCGCGAGCATCAAGAGCACAGAGGTGCAACAGGGAAGAGACAACTCACCTTGGGGATGAAATAGTTCCTGAATTTAATGTCACAGGTCACTGCATGAGGCAGGCTGGTCGGAAGGAGGTTGATGAATCTCTGGACCTCATGAATCACGGCATCTGTATAGGGCATGTGGCTCCTGTCCTGCATGCAGGGACTGCGGTTTCTGCCAATCACACGATCAATCTCTTCCTGGACTTTAGCTAGTTGGTCACAGTAACAAATGGGGAAACAGAAGAAAAGTAACACCTTTGGCACAATGTCAGACCATACACAGCACAATGTGCGTGTTCCAAAATAAGTAAGTGTGCATTTTTATTTATGGATAAAAGTATTTACACATATATTTATACAGAAATGTGTGTTGTAGATTTATAACTCTGTCATTCTATAAGATACTATGATAGACCTGATATATTTATTATTTAGGATCCATAACAGGAAATAACGTATTAGTAATTAAAATATGAAATAAAAAATATAGAAGTCAGATACTAAATCTGCATTTAAATACAATATTCTCTTACAACCACATACTAAAGTATGTATTTTTATGAATATGTGTGTGTTGCATGTGTACAATTTGAAAGATTTTTCATTTTTGTTCCCACACTCAGTAAAGAACAGTTCAACATCTTTAGCTACTTCTGAAATATATTCATATTTATAAAATTAATGTTTCTTATCTATCCACATAGCACAAAATCTATTTGACTTTTATGCCTTGGAAATGAAATTTCAGTTACATCTCACTATCTACACACACACACACACACACACATTCACATACATGCTTCCCCTTGCCCCTCACTTTATTAATAATAGCATACTGGAACTTCATGAAACTGAAAGCTTCTTTATGACAAAGACACCATAATTAGGACAAAATAACAGGTTACAGAATGGGAAAATATTTTTATCAACTACACATCCAATAGAGGAGTAGAATCCAAAAATAAATAAAGAATTCAAAGAAATGCAATATCAAGAAAACAAATAACCAAATTAATAAATTGGGTACATATCTAAGCAAAGAATTCACAAAACATTAAATTCAAGTGTCTGAGAGAAACTTAAAATGTTCACAAATCTTAGTCATCATGGAAATGCAAATCGAATCTTCTTTGAGATTTCACCCTACATCCATCTGAATGGTGAAAATCAATTTTTAAAAAGTGACAGCTTATGCTTGAAAAGTTGTGGATAAAGAGGAACACTTATAAATTTTTGGAGAAGAGCAAATCTATATAGCCACTCTAGATATTAGTGTGACAGTATGCTAGGAAGAAAGAAATAAATCTACCACAAGATACACCTACGCTACTCTTGGGCATAAACTTAAAAGTTGTTTTATCTTATCACAGAAACACTTGCTCAACCATGTTCATTGCTGCTTTGTTCATAAAAGCTAGAAAATTGAAAATGAATTAGATGTCCCTAAACAGAATTTTTAAAGGTGGCACATTTATACAATGGAGTGTTAACTCAATCATTTAAGAAGAATTAAATCATAAAATTCTCATGAAATGGAGGGAACTAGAAAAAAAATTACCTTGCATGATATAATCTAAACCCACAAATTTACTAAAATATTGATATAGCTGTTAAATCAATGATAACCAAGCTACAGTCTGTAGAACCACAGACATTATGTGTAAAGAAGAAAAAAGGAAGACAGATATTTTTAAAAATAGGAGAGAGAATAGATTTATGGATTACTAGGGTGCTTGAATCAAGGCCTTAAGTGTGGATGAGAGGCAGAAATGAGGGAGGAAAACCAGAGAGAGACATATAAAATTCAGCATCATTCAAGGGATTGTATGGAGTCTTAATACAGGAGAAACTTTACATATGTGTGTGTATGTATGTATATATGTAATATATATGTTCATTTATATATATATAATTTAATGAAATAGCAAAATAATATATAAATGTATACACACACACACACACACACACACACACACACACACATATATATATATATATATATATATATATATATATATAATTTAATGAAATAGCAAAATAATGGGGAGGCAGAGTCCTAACTCCAATACCAGCATTAGGTTACATCTAATTGAGTTGTTGGTCAAAGGAGTTCCATGGAAATCTCCAAACAACTCAGGCTATTGTCAAGATAATAGGTTGCTCTCCAAAATCTGACACCAAAGTCTCATTGAAGCAACACCTACACAACTCTGTGAACATGGAGAAGTCAAGTCAATGTCCTCAAAGACCCTTCACCCATATGTTCTAGCATCTTTGGCAAACAGGGAAACATAAACCAACCCAGCCACAAACCTTTTGATTAACAATGGTGTCTTGCTTGCAAGATATGCTAGGGCAATAGTGGCACAATAACTTGTGAGAATAACCAACCAAGAACTTATTTGGTCTTGAACTCATTCCATGATATGAAACCCATTTCTGAAACTGCTTGGGTTGCCAATAATGGAAGACTAGATAGCCCAGGGACTTATGGTAAAACCAAATATTCCTGTACTAAAGCAAAACACATTGACAAAACACAAAACAAAACCATAGCAATAAAATGACTGCTAATGACATTCTGCTCTACTCATAGATCAGTGTCTTGCTCAGATATCTTTAGAGAAGATTCAGCCTGCAGCAGATGGCAACAAATACAGAGATCCTTAATCAGAATTATTTGGACAGTGAGAAACCATGGAATATTTATCCCTAAATGGAATGTCTCCATCAAATCTCTCCCCTTGGGGTTCAAAGAACGCTGTGGAATAGGAGGCAGAAAGAGTGTAAGAGTCAGAGGAGATGGAAGGTGTTAAGAAAATAAGGCCCTCTAAAATCAAAACAATCAAAGGACATATGAACTCACAGAGATATAGGCAGCATGCACAGGGCCTGCACAGGTCTGCACTAGGTCCTTTGCTTATATGTTATGGCTTCCAGTTTAGTGTTTTTATGGCTTCCTAGATTTCCAAATGAATGGGTTTCTGTTTCCTGGCCTTCTCCTATGTTCTGTTCCTTTGTTTTGTCCAATTCCAATGAGCTATTTTTTGCTGTGTCATACTAGATTTATTACATCTTGTTATATTATTTATTATTCTATAGATGCCTTCTTGTTTTCCACTGAAAGGCAGAAAAAAAGGGTATCTTTATGTGGAGAGGAACAGGAAAGGGTAGAGGGAGGAGAAACCATAATCCTGATATATTATGTGAGAAAAAATTCCACTTACAAAAACGGGGGAAAACAGCAAATTGGCTTATAAAACTTTGCCATACAAACATTCATTGTTAGATTAATTGCAACTGCATAAATATTTATCATCATGAAAATTATGATTATTTTCCATTATTAGCAGTCTTTTAGATTAACAGTTACATTTTCATATGTAATTTTTCATTTTTGAGTTATAATTGTGCTGGAAATTTAAATAGATAACTCTAAATGCTGGAAATACAGTCTCAATTAAAAGGAGCATCCAACTACAGATTATTTCCTTTTCATTCCCTTTTTCTGTTCACACGTACATCACCCACATGGTAAATATTGAATTGGAAGCTTCCCAGGACTGGTACCCAGCAACCTCTATGATACTCTCACCCTCCCACAAGTTCTATTCATGCTACTGGAGCCCATAACTTGTTGTGACTTTACTTCAGACAATAAGATGTAAAATGTTCTCATAAATTTCATGAAGTAATATAAAATTAGATTAAAATTATGGCTAATGTGGATGTCTCATCTGCCTTTTATTTTATAAACACATAAGAAGCCAGCTGATCTTAAGATTTCTGGTATAGCCTGGATGAAGATAGTTTGCATATGACTCAGGGATCTCCATGAAGGGTTCCATGCTTCTATTAAGTTCTGAGAACACTGTGAGTCTGTCTCTTGGATGGATGTTTTGAATCCATTCTGATTAATACATGGGAAATACTTTCTATCATGGTGGTGAAATAAGGAGTTCTGATTTAGTCCTTTTGTCTGGAGGACTGACCCCGCTGCATATATTCATGAAACAAGACAGAGAACAGGCTCTGAGATCCAGAATTCTGGGAATCAAATCTTGTTGGCATTTGCTTTCATCCCAATGTATTGGTCATTCCCTGTCAGTCATCAGTGTTTCAGGGAAAGGGCTTCTTTAACTCAGTTTCTTTTAAGAATATTATTTTCTGCTGGGTAGTGGTGGCACATGCCTTTTATCCCAGCACTCGAGAGGCAGGAGCAGGTGGATCACTGTCAGATCAAGGCCAGCCTGGTCTACAAAAGCTAGTTCCTGGACAGACTCCAACCCTGTCTTAAAAAGCATTATAAAACAAAAGAAATTTATGTTCCTGGAATAGGGGCCACATGCTGAATGGGAATAGGAAGGGAGCTTCAGCAAGGTCAAAATCCTGTGTACAAATTTGTTCCCTATTTAAGCTTCTATTTCTGTGGAACCAGATTCTGCACAGGTCTATAGATATAGATTCACAACTTGTCTGTCTTACTACATGCATGATGTTCATCTAACATTTGTGTTTCAACATCTTTCCTGCTCTATGTTTTCCTCATTCCTCATACTAATGTTCCAGTAATTTGTTGAAGCCTTCTTGACTGCTTATTGTTATTTCTTCCTATCTTAAAATATGATTTATGTTTGTACTTTTATTATGTAGTATTCATCGGACACAGGAGAAAGAATGTATTTCAAATGTGATGGACCACTGGATCTGTTTTAAACTACAATGTAAAAGAAAACACTATTGGTACAGTTGAAAAAAATCACTGTTCAACAGAAGTTTAAGGAAATGGACTTCTCAAGTGATAAAAGTCCTTAATCTACATTTTTTGCATTGATCAAAATGTTTCTGGAGAATCTAAGTGTTTCGGATTCTTCTCAGAATACACATCATCCCAGCCAGACTTAGGTATTCTACTTACGTTTCAGTGAAGTGAGTTTTCTTCATTCCAAAGTTAGATTCATCAGAATGAGGGAAGGAAACTGAAAGGTTCAGCTGACCTAAAGACATGACTTAAGAATAAAATAACATGTGTCCACAGTACAATGGATATTAGCCATGCCTGTTACAATTTACCATCCAGGAATCTCAGACACTGACCAGAATTTGACTGTTTGTCTTACAGTTTGTTTCTTTAATCATGCTATTTATTACAGCCATTGAGAGGCATAGAAGTTGAAGGACTAAGACTCCTGTAATAAAAACAACACACAGGACACTAGCAGAGTCTTTCCAGCATCTTACAGAAACACTGTGGGTCACCACTTGTGTCCTCACCTGTGACATCAGGGTGCTTCAGCAGGAGCAGTAAAGCGTATCTCAGTGTTGTGCTTGTTGTCTCTGTCCCGGCACCAAACAGGTCACTCACAGTCATTACCAAATTTTCAAGTGTAAATTCTGATTCTTGATTGGGGTTTGTCTGGGGATAAATTAATGCCATAATCTAATAAATCTTTATCAGCATATCTCATTACAGACTCTGCAGTTTTATATAAGTTTATGCATTTACTACTAAAAGTATAAAATTTAAAGTAAAACTTCATAACATCCATTCCAAATGGTTATTCTAACTGTATAGAAGTTTATTGAGTCATGCAGACATTGGATCTTGTTAATTTGACAAGATGTTTTATATATGTGCAAGTTACTTTTTATAATAAGACTTCTGCAACAAATTTCTTGAATGTAAGGTAGAAATAACTAGCACAGATTTTTATAAATTTTGATTTCACTCTTAATTCCTGACTAGTGTAACTCTTGCAATGATGTGATTATCTGCAATTAAGTGCAGTTTTCCACTTTTATTCATTTAAAGCATAAATGAAACATTTTATTCATTATCCATTTAGTCCTATAAAACCATATGAAGAAAAATGTGTGACAGGTCTAATCTTAGGACATGCAGATTCATACAAAAAAATGAACACCTGTATTCTCAATACAGTAAAGAACATTGGAAGACATTTGACTATATCTTTGGGAATTCCCTATTAAACTAATGTGGGGCTGTAATGAGATTTTTGTCGTTCAGTTCAACAAATCCATTCTTTCTCAATGCATTAATAACTGGATTTTCTCTTAGTTTTAAAAAGTAACATATCATTGAAGGTGTATCCCACATTCTTATCCCTGCATCCATTTATTGATGAGTTATAGATTGATTATCTCAGCTATTTTGAGAAACACAGCAGTAAACAAGCACAAATGTGCAGGTGCCTCTTCTTTATGCTGATATTCTTTGGATACAATCTTAGCTTCAGTCTAAGACCCACTTCATTACATAGGACCCATATCTGTCACTGTTAAGGATCTAAGAATTGTTGGTCGATTCTCTAACTGATTACTCTAATAGTCAGTGTTAAAATGATTCCTAATAAATTACTACTATATCTATAAATCAGAAATTTCATACTTTTTCATCACAGAAACTTTTACTTGTATGAGACGGCAATTAGTACAGAGACATTCAACTGTTCAATGTCCACAGAATAAAGCACTATGACTTGATCACCCCTAAATCATAACACACTTCTCCCCAGTTTTAAGGATCTTTGTGGAAGAGGAGGCAAGAATGGTGTAAGAGCCATCTGTGATCAATAACATCAAGGAATCAGTGTTTTCTGGACACAAAAGGACAGATGAACAAGAAAACTCACAGTGACTGTGACAGTCTGCACAAAAACTGTGGAAGTTTCATCAGATAAAAACCCAATACAAAGTTGAGGTGGGGAAAAACTATGAAACCCCACCTCTAGCTGGTTAGATCCTGTGAAGGAGTAGTCAGTTTTTTACAATGATGTGGCCCAATGGTGAAAAGAGGGAAAGAAATAGTAATTTGATAAGAAGAGTTAAAAGGATGAAGAGGAGGGTAATGAAAATTGAGGCTTATGTTTAAATTACATCACATTAAATTCTCAAATGAGCCCTGGGCTGTAGTGGCGCACAACTTTAATCCCAGCACTCGGGAGGCAGAGGCAGGAAGATAACTATGAGTTTGTGGCCAGCCTGGTCTAAAAGAGCTTGTTCCAGGACAGACTCCAAAGCTACAGAGAAACCCTGTCTAGAAAAACCAAAAAAATATTCTCAAATGATTAATGAAATATTGCAAAAATAAAATTAAATAAATGTATCAAACATTAAAAGCAATTTAAATATCTTCTTGCAGAGCTACAGTAATGAAAGCAGTGAAGTACTGACACACAAATCAATATCAATACCAATAGAGCTTTGATAACCAGGGGTTAAACTAGACATCTATGGTCAATATTTTTACAACTGAGTTCCAAGATTGCTCCACCTAAGGGAAGAGTCTTAAACAGATGATGATAGAACAGCTGGAAAACTACATGAAAAGAAGAATGCTGGAAATATAAAATAGGGATAAGCTTCATTCCCTATGACTTGGACTTATAGATTACAGAACAAACTGACAAAATCCAGATAAATCAGATTCATCCACAACAAAATGCTAATGCACTCAAGACATAACTAAGAATATGCAAATGACAACCCACAGGATGGAAATATCTTTCCATGTCATTTATTTGGAAAGTTTTATATCTACATATATGCATAATTCCTTAGCTCCACACAAAAAAGAGTCTAATGAGCAAAATATTACAATAAAAATTCTCTGAAGACACTGAAAGGTGAAACATTACATAAAAAGATGTCCATATTCACTGTCTGTTTAGGAGATACCCATTGAATCTGCCTGGAGGTACCACTTCATACTAACTGAATTGTTAATAATTAAGTCTCAAAATTAAAATTTTGGCAGCTATTTGGAAAACAGAGTATCTCAAAAACATAAAATACTGTGTTAATGTGAATTTCTAAACAGGTTCTCAGAAAGAAAAACATAAAGATATTATCATTTGACTCAGAATCCCCAGTCCTGGGGATATACAGAGAAAGTGTCTGCATATGTTCACATATATAGCTTAGAGTATCCATAGGTAGAAATAAGAAACTTATCCATCAGGAGAAATAAGTGCATTGTGTTATTAATGCAGTTTGCTGCAAAAGAAAGAGAAAGTACTAAAAAAAGATGAAGTTAAAAAAATGTTTAAGATTCCAAGCAAGTGGAAGAAAACAGAAATTGGATACCACATATACTGAGTCATTATAGATGATCCATTCATCACAGGCAAGTCTGTACATGCAGAAACCACACTAACAACTGCTAAAGCTGGTGTGAAGGGAGCAGAGTTATCAGTAGTGGGTGTGGTATATTTTGTCATGGTAAGGATTGCTTCCCAACTGGAAGGAGCAGGTAGCTTCAGTGCTTTGAAATCACGTAAAATACAACCATAATGTAAGTGAAATATGGCTACAGCTTTGAGATACCACTGTATACTTACTGGACTAACTTTGTGAACTATATCTTATAAAAGATATATATTAAAAAGGCACAAATTAGCTTGGCAGTGGTGTTGTATGCCTTCAATCTAAGCACTTTAAAGTCAAAGACAGGCAGATCTCACTGAGTTTGAGTACAGCGTGGTCTACAAATCAAGTTCCAGGATAGCCAGGACTGTTACACAAAGAAATCATTTCTTGAAAAAATAAACAAATATAAAACAAAGCAAAAAAGGCACAAAATAAACAAAATAGTTTGTCAAAAGGAAAGAGCAACATTGGGGGATGCAGATTTCAGACTATTAAATTATTGCTATGCACTAATAACGCATTAGTTATTAGTAACTAATAACTAATTAGTAACTAATTAGTTACTAATTAACGAAGTAACGAAGAGCTCAGAAGAGTGAATCTCTAGCAAAAGACAATCTAAGATCAGTGCAATAAAATCAATGCCCACAACCAAACCCAAACATCTAGAGTCAACTGGTTTTTACTGAGTTCCAAAGAAAGTCAATGAAAAATTATCTTTTGAATAAATTACACATTGTCAATGCAGTTCATGCTGTCAGGATACCCAGTAGATACCAATTATTAGCCCCTTTTGGTGAAAATTAACATGAACTTGTACTCAAAGCTTCATTCTTCCATACACCTCTCTTCCCACCACATACTTCTCTTTACATCACTCAGTTCTTCTGAAACCAACTCCCATATCTATCCTTTTAAAATTACAATATGGCCAGATCAATTTAATTCACTAGACATGAAGAAATTCTAACTACACAACATGTGCATTTATGGTGCCAGTATTCACACTGCCATGATAGTTGATTATTTTCTCCTTGATTAGGATTCTTTCCTATCTTACCTTTTCTTTGTATCCTTCTTCTCCTCAGTTACAATTTTTAAAGAACAGAGACAATATGTTCTAGTTAACAATTCCCTCTATCAGTAACCATGTGGTGCACCCCAACGAACAATAAATACTAAAATTGTTTTTCAAATAATCCTGACTTAAACCATTTCTGACAAACATTTCAGTGTTCAACAAACCAAAAAAAAATGCTCAGGCAATAACACAAAGTTATATTAATATTTTACCTGCTTTAGTTTAGTCAGGTAATAATCAATAAAGTCCCGAGGGTTTGTAACATCCAGTGATTCCTGGTGTTCTTTAATTTTTTCCAAAAGGTAACTTCTGATATAATTAACATTTTTTGGTATTGTGCGATGACTTCCTGGACAATAGTCAATTAGTGCAGGAAAATTATTGCAGATCTACAAAATCAGACAGAGAATTTTTTGTTAAGGTGTACTGTTTTACTTTTAGTCTTATGTGTTCTGTGTGTATGCATTCATGTGTGTGCCATGTATGTGTGGGTGCCATAGAAGTCAAAGATATCAGATCCAATCTGATCTGATAATGGTTTTGGGACACCTAACATGGGTGCTTAAATTGGGCTCGGGTCCTTTGAAAGATCAGCACACCTTCTTAACCACTGCTTCATCTCTCCAACTTTTTCCAAAGAATTTTTTTGAGAAACAGAGATGAAGAAATACACATATACAACAAGACCAACTTGGGTTGATAGATTCAGACACAAATGAAAAATAATGTCCAACTAAAGGAGGAGGTGTTTATTACAGGAAACAATTTTCTGTAATAGCAGAGGAATTTGGGGCAAAAATACCTTCCTGAATGATCAAATATCATAATCAAGTTTCAACATTCATAAATCACTTTAGTATAAATATTACTTCTGAAAACTGACTAATGACTTATACCACTTATTTTCTACAAGTCTGAAGTATAAATTTATAATATAAATCTTGGGTATCTTGTCACTGTCCTGAACTGTGAGATCTTGGAGCCCTGGCATTGCAGGACCAACACTTCTCATGCTCCAGCAGATCACATATGGGGCGGATGCTAAGACGAATCATTTCATAGCCCTTGCTCTGGCCCTACATAGTTGCAGTGTTGGCCAGCCCTCCAGGTCTCCCCACTATCTTCACAACCAGGGTGATCTCACTGGCATACACTGGCAGGTGCATCCCTCAAATGATGAGCTTCTTACACGCCCTCAGAATTATCTCTCCCACACCTAAACCATCAGGGTAAGATCTACTGGGTTACCAATGCAAAGTGCAGAGGCCATTCTTACAAGTACTGCAACTGGTGAAGTGCAGGATCAAGTCTCCCACTCTTACGACCTCAGGGTCAGCCCTGCAACCTGCCACAAGCTACAAGGGAGGGGAGACAATCTCTCCCCAACACATACCATTATAAGACAGATGAGGGGAGGGCCAGGTCTCCTATGCTCACATTTTCTAAGCTGGTTCATATGCAGCCCACCATCCCAATCAATAGGGTCAGTAGGGTCAATAGGGTCTGGTCAGCTGTAATGCCCATGGAGGTACAGGCCCAGCTTTCCCAGTTACTGAAGTTGGTAAAGAGAAGTTTCAGGTCCCTTGCACACCACAGGTGGCAGTGGCAAGGGGAGGAGGACATCTTTCTCTCACTCTTAACCTCACATGGCATGTTTGTAGGTGTGGTCAGTTATTCCACTCTCAATATCAGGGCCAGCTCACCTGTGCCTCTGCCCACAGGGTCAACTTTACTATGCTGTCCAGGCTAGGTGCAGGGCCTGCTTTAATGAGTGCTGAAGCTGGTAAGGGCAGGGGTTTTCATCTCCTTCATCTGCCTCAGGCATGAGGGGTTTAATGGTAAAGGGGACATACCTCCCCAACCACACTAACAAATGACATACAAGTAGTAGGGCCAGCTCTCTCACACTCCTAACTTTGTGGCTGACTCACCTATACCTCTGTGCACAATGTTCAGCTCTTCTGTACTGTCCAGGCAAGGTATAGGGTTTGCTCTTCTGAGTTCAGCTGATAGTAGGGGCGTGGGTAGTTTCCAGCTCTTATGACCTCTGGACCAGCTCTCTCACATGCCACACTCAGTCTCTCTCACACCCATGCCACCATTTGGCAGATAAGGGGCAGGGTCAGAATCCCAAGCTTCACATTCTTAGAGTTGGCACACCCACATCACTGTCACCAGTATCAGCACCGCTGTGAAACCTAAAAGAGGTGCAAGGCCCATTTTTCCTAGGGTTTCAGTCTGTGAGTGACATGATCAATCCTCTACAGCCCTTTCCTCTTGACCATATGTGTTATCAAAAGCTATGGACATCAACACAGACCAAGAAAGCAACAGGTCCATATACTCAGATATGGACCCTGTCAGCAGCCAAGTTCCAGACATCACCATGGCCCTGTGTGACAGCCAAGCTACCCATCTCAGCCCACTCTGCCCTGTTTCACTTCTTCGGATGTGTCTTTTCCATCTGTATTGAACCATTCTATCTCTGACTTTCCCATATCACACCATACATATGCTCACCACAGTAGTGTCTGACTGCCTGGTGCCTTGTTGCACTGGGGCAGCCCTAATCACTGTCATTCTTTATGGAGAGTTAGGAGATGCCAGTTTAGCACAGACCAATTCTGAGAATATGTATGTGGGTCACACAGCATCAAATGACTCCTCATTTCTGCCTGTCTATTTGTTAACTAGGATTCCAGCAGATAAATCAAGGCACTGAAACTACTCAGTGTTTCCTGGCAGATTTCATTGCCATTAACATTCTTTCTCATTTAAGGGAATATTCTTTCTAAACTAAAATATTCCTGCCTAGTAGTATGATGAGGATGCGTTTAATAATCAAAAAGATAAGAGTTATGCATAGAAGAATGTCCTATGAACAACTGACCACACTTCTAGATGTGAATGTGATACTTTGTACAAACAGCTCTGTGGACGTAAACTGGAAAATCTACAGATATGAAACTAGCAGCCTCAAGCTGACCTGAAAATCGCCTTTCAGTTTTGCTAAAAACTCAGACCTGCCTTCGAGATACTCTTTGAATAATATATTATTCAGAACTGTAGTGTCTAATAACCTCAATTTTTGGTTCATATTGAATTTGACCTTTGAGAATAAAAGACTATGAATTTGTTCTCAGGAAAAAAAGAAAATCTTGACTTCACCTGCATCCAGGGAGAGCTCAGAATCTTGATATTCTCATTTACTTTTCCCATCAATGTAAGAAAATCCTGATCTTGATAATCAAATCGATTCTGGAAAACAGTGGAGCAGATGACATTGCAGGGAGCACAGCCCAAGATGAACGTGGGATCACAGGGTGAACCTGAAGAAACAATTGGAAAAAAACTATTAAAATAGAGAAAGAAGAAGTTTTGACTTTGTTAACAGTAAAGAGTCACTTGAAGTTGTAAACCATATCCCATCTACAATTTTTCTAACAACTAAGCATTCATTATATGTAGAATCAATGTACCACTTCAATCTTAAATTTGAAATGGCCTCAGCCTCAGTAGTTAAATAAGAACAGATCATATCTGTTACACCAATTTTCATACTTTTAACTATGTGGTATTTGAAAGAAAATCAAATATTTTAAAAACCTAATATTTCTGGTATTCTGAACAGAACTACTTCTTACTAGAATGTCTATTTTCCATGTAACACTCAGATGAAAATAGAAGAGTGAACACCTGGAAGATCTGCAGACACAGTGAGTAAAGCAAAAAAATGAGTATTGATCCAAGGAAGGAGGAACCCACTGCAGGTGAGTTCTGGTATTAGAAGGAAAAAAAAAACCATGGGAGACTTACTCCTAGTTACATGAGAATAATTTAAAATCTCAAGAATAGCCACTTTTATGTGGATGAAAGCATCCATTTTACAGTTAAATTTCAAAAGGGAGAAACAATATAGGGCAGTCATAGAGACTTCCCCTTTTTCATTTCGTCATTTAAAACATCACATTTTCTCCAGAGGAAGTAAATTTAGTACTTGAAAAATCGATGCAAAGTATAACAAGATCAGTGCTAGACAGAGAGCTCTGCATTCAAAGTGCTTGCTGCTGTTTTAGAGGACCAGAGTTCAGTTCTGAGCAGCCTCCCTATGGCTCATAACTTACTGTAACCCCAGTTCCAGAAGAACATGATACAGTTTTCTTACTTCTGTGGCACCAGGCACATAAGTGGTGCACACATGTATATGCAGGCAAACATTTATACACATAAAATAAAAATAAACAATTTTTTAAAATTCTAACAAAGAAGTCTTGGGTAGGATGCAGTAGGACAAATGGAAATGGAGCTTCCAGAAATGTGACGGTAGGGAGGCATGTTCGAAGCACGTGCTACATTCCCACAAAATGTCTATATGAAGCTAACACTGTATACAGTATTAGTGACAATAATGCTTAGTTTTTAAAAGAAATAAATAATGATTATGTTCAATAAAACTACACAGTATATTTAGGCATAAGTGAGTGTGGTTTGTAGATTTGTAAACGTTTCCCAAAATCACCATTATTAAATATGCTGATATAATGCTTTAAATTTTTGCAACACATAGGTGTATGATATTACAGGTCAAAACATTACAAGGAAATTTTGTAATTAGGCCTTATTTGTGTAAATGTGTTCAGAGGTGTGTGTGTGTGTGTGTGTGTGTGTGTGTGTGTGTGTGTGTGTGGTGTGCATCTGGGTAGGCTAAGAGAGCATGTAGGATCTCATGGAGTTTCCTGATATGGGCACTGGGAACCCATTGTTGCTTCATTAAAGGACCATTCTCTCTCAAGCGATAAACCATCTCACTCCAGCTCTCAGAACAGTTTCTTCTGATGTCTTTTCTATAGTGAGTTTGATTTGATCAAATGATGAATACACTTTCCATTCAAACTGATTCAAAATTTATATGTGTAGACCCCACATAAGGAGCACATAAAATAAGTATTTGAATAAATTATGAAGCATTTAAATATAGGAAACTCCTGAATAGTGTTGTGGCTATGCCAGGGTTTAAAAACATGACTATATTCTATGCTATTAGGAAATGTTTTGTTTAAGCCAAAAACATTGAAGGGTAAAAGATTGCAACATTTCTTATGTGTATGCAAGCTGTTCACAGATTAAATTTGACTTTTAGCCTTTCCTTTCACTTTATTTGGAAAAACACCTTAAAGTCCTTAGAAATAAAATAGGTAATCAGATTTGTTTTTCAGGAAAGAAACTTCTGAAGTAGCATTTATACCGGTAGCAAAAGAAAAGTGTTTCATTTTCTACAAAAACACACAAAATGTTGAGCTTGAGCAGAAGTGACCGGCAGGATTAAAACACAATCAAAAGGCTAGCAATAACCTTTCATGTTTTTAAAGACATAATTTAATTAAGAAATAATTTCCTTGTTATCTTTTTGCATCTTGCAGATTTGTGCTACCATATGTGTTTCAATAGAATGCAATTCAAAACAGTAAGTGCGATGATATAAGAAATAGTGAAGCTGTTTACATTTAGTGATTTATATATGTTAAACCATTCCTGAAACTCTGGGATGAATCCAATTACATCACAGTGCATAATCACTTTCATGCAATATGAAGTTGGCTACAAATATTTTATTAAAAAATAAATTTCTCCAAGTTCATCAGCGATGTCAGTCTATGATTTCTTCTTTTTGCTATCTCTCTCTTTCCTCTGTGTGTTGGGTGGGAGTTCTTAATCCTGTTATTCCTTTCTTTTATGTTTTGCTTAATTTTGTTACCAGGAACATACCAATATTGTAAAAAGATTTTTAGAAACACTTCATCATTTTCTATTTTACCCAATAATTTGAGTAGTATAAGTTTTGGTTCCTTTTGGAAAATCGGATAGAATTATGCACTGAATCCACCTTTTCATGCAATAGTAGAAAATATAATCGTAAAATTTCTATTGTACTTGGCTAAGAAATGAAAACCTTAAATCATATCAGTGTTACCCAGGACTGTAAACATTAGCCTAGAAGAATCCCTGTACTGTTCAGTTAATTTGCTCAAATGTCTGTAATCCAATAAAATGAAAACAAATATCCTCTGATTGGGATCTTCCACTATTATAAATAGCAATGATTCTGTGGTAAAATGGTTCACAAAGACAAAGTACACTTGTGCTGATGGAAATGCACAATTATACAGTTCAAAAGAAAATTAACATGAAACCCATATCAATTGTTTCTGGTTTAAAAACTAAGAAAATTTTTGATAGGATATGATCAACATGTCATATACATATACCTAAACTAAGATGTGATACATACACCTACACTTACAATTGGTTTTTCTCAGTTCCTCCACAAGGCACTGTGCTTCCTCTTGAACGCGGTCCTCAATGCTTCTTTTCCCCATTCCCAAATTCCGCAGAGTCATGAGTGAGAATCTCCTTGTCTCTTTCCATCTGTTTCCATTGCTAAAAATAATGCCTAAAGAAATGGTAAAACACTAGAAAAATATTCTAGACTTCTCTTAGGACTGGAGAGGGAGGGGGAGGGGTAGTGGGGGTAATGGGAGGAAAATGGGAAGAGGGGAGGAGGTGGAAATTTTTAATAAATAAATAAATTTCAAAAAGAAATAAACTAAAATAAATAAATAAAAGTCATAGCTCATGTAAGGAGACAGTTCTGTAATTAATCAGTGTCAAAATAAAGAATAAAGTGTAAAATTTTTAAAAATGCAAAATATTCTAGGAACAAATGAGAGATCTGATGAGTGGAAACAACAGAGGTCCAACCTGTACTTAGGGAAGAGGTCCCACCCCTTCTTTCAGTCTTCACTTTTAGAAGAAACACTCATATAAGCATGTATAGTTACTCACCATGACCTTTATTAACTCTTTCAGCCATTGGGAAGTTTCCTCTGCCAGCAAACTCCTCCCCATGATCAATCAGAGCCTCCTTCACTGCTTCATACCCATGCAACACCACAGTGGGCTTCATGCCCAAGTACAGGGTGAAGACTGGGCCATAGACTTTTGAGAACTGAAAATAGGAAGAAATCATGTGAATACTAGAAAAAAAAAAGGTCATTTTAATTTTCATGGTGTCAACCTCATTCCTGCTGATATTATCCCTCATTATATTTTAATATTTTTAGTGAGGCAACTCTCAGTTTCAAATGGTTCTGAAGCCTATTCATATAACTTTATGGTGAATATCAGTTATTGATCACCTACAGTGAACCATGTAATGACTCAAGGCTCTGGTAGTTGTTACACAAATATTACAATGAATTTTTACACTAAAACATTCAGCACGATGCTGACCACCTAAACTCCATATAGGACACACACCAGCATGCTGTCGGCCCTCATTCTCTCATTGCCTGTCCACCTTACTCACAGTCACTCCTCTCACCCTTCTTACCATGCCCCAGTCCCCCAATTTATGTATAAAGACCCTGTTTGAACAAAGACCACTCCACTCTGACCTATAGATGTCCAGCCCAGAGGTGTGGAGACCCTCTACTCAACCACAGTTCAATTTAGTTAGAAGACCAGAGAAGATGCAGAAGCCAAGAACAAAATACCCAAATTACTAAAACCATAATTGCTATAATTACATATAAAAAACCATAATGCTGTACATCAGATTTCTGATGCCATATTTACAGGTTTAGAAAAACAACAGAGGATTTTATAGCGAGCGCAAAAGACCAAGAGTAGTCAAGACACTCCTAAGGAGTAAAAATGCTGTTGGAGCTAAAATAACACCTGACAGCAAATTATATTATAGAGTTATAGTGGTATAAACCAAAGGGCCCTCACAAAACATAGACAAGTAGAACAGTGGGATAGACAAAATGATGCATAAATAAAGCTTTAAGGTGACATCCTCTTAGTTTGGAAATGTAAATTTGTAAGTTGCCACATTTGATTCTATTGAGCAACCAGATTAGGCATACTGTTGCTAAAATCACCAAGAGTGAACCCGACAGGAGTTGTACCATAGGCATGCAATATTTCCTGGAAAAAAAAACTCAGTTCATTCTCTGGCAGAATTCTTAGCCCCAAACTTAGGGTTTTCAAAAATTAACACTGAATATAAATATCATCAATATGCTGAAGTCTTAGCTGCATTCTTGCATTTCTAGTGTTATTCCATGTCCATTGATCTATATTTAATTTAAGCATCAATAACGTTTTTAAAGTAAAGCTTCAAATACATAACTTGAGTAAAAACATATCTCTAAAATGCTACCTGACTTATTGAATAAAACATTACTCACTATTTGTCTTCAATCAAACATAATGGAAAAGGTTGGGCTTTTTTTGTTAAGATAGAAAATATCTAAAACTTTGCAATTTTGTGGGTTTTCTTTCTTTTTTTTTTGTACAACGCAAAGAAGTAAGTGTCCTTGCATCTGAAACCTCACTTGTTACTGATTTTCTGACATTGACCAGCTATAAAAGTCGTAAGGTACACAATCCTTTGCAAGAATTTTGACTTTGAAATTGTTTATAGCAATATTACCTCAAATACAAGATTTTCATCTAAAGCAACTTTCAGTTTATCTTCTTCATCAAAGTACTGGAGGAGCACAAAGAATACTTACATTGCTCAAGCACTGGCTGATGTTCTTCACATCTATTTGGAAGAAGTTGCCAAAAACTGGGAGAGGAGTGGGGCCAGGAGGAAGCTTTGCTCTCTCAGAGCTCTGTCTCCAGAGCGAGAGGAGAAGCAGACAGCAGAGGCTGAGCACCAGGACCACAACTGCATCCATGGAGATCCTTCTGCCTGGCACAGCTGTGCTCAGCCAGCATGGAGCTTTTATAACAATACCTGCACATTCAACATGTCCTTCTTTGGAACATAATTGACTGATCTGTCAGGTAACTTTTAACCTCTCTCTCTCTAGTAGACTTTGTCCTACTGATCGAGGTCAAAATAAGGTGTTCTTTTCCCTTATCCTTCTTTACAGGGTATCCATTTGAATTTCTAGTTTAACAGTACAGTTTGGAGTCTAAGTATTTCCTTTTTGTTGTTTTTTTGTTTTTGTTTTATTCATTTATTTATTTATGTATTAAAATTTCCCACCTCCTCCCATCCTCCCATCCTCCCATTTCCCTCCCACTTCCCCCACTCTCCCCACTCCCCTTCCCCCTCACTCTCCAGTCCTAAGAGAAGTCAGGGTGCCCTGCCCTGTGGAAAGTCCAAGGCCCCCTCTCCAACCAGGTCTAGGAAGGTGTGCATCCAAACAGACTAGGCTCCCAAAAACCCAGTACATGCAGTAGATTCAAAATCCGGTGTCATTATCTTGGCTTCTCAGTCAGCCCTCATTGTCAGCCACATTCAGAGAGTCCGATTTGATCACATGCCCGTTCAGTCCCCATTCCAGCTGGCCTTGGTGAGCTCCCATTAGATGAGTCCAACAGTCTCCGTGGGTGGGCGCACCCCTCGCAGTCCTGACTTCCTTGCTCATGTTTTCCCTCCTTCTGCAAACATATTTATAATGTGTAACAATTCTTGGGAAGCAGTAGATTAATCTTGAGATGATAGAAAACACATCAACCTGTACATTCTCAGGTTAGTGACCAGGTAAAAATATAAGACTTATTAATAGTTTGTATATCCCATGAAATGTATTTATTTTTTTAACAAAGTTTTACTATGTAGCTTATGTTGACCTCAAACTGATAATTTTTTGCTATATTGTCCCAATGGCTAGAAAAATATTTGTGCACCACATGGTCATGCATATTTAAAATGCTTCTTTGATTATTGAATATTTGGACATATTTTGTTTAACAATGTAAGTCTTACACCTCATTTCATTTTTGGTCATTTATAAAACTAAGATAACAAAACATAGCTACCAGTCATACATCTTGAATCAAAAAATATATATATTTTCTTTTAGCTAAAGAAAGCTGTTTTTCAGTGTTGTGTAGTTTAACTATGAAAGACCTTTTTTTTATCCTACAGGTAATGGGAAATAAAGAACTGCCAGTGTCTCACAGCTCAGAGCTGAAAGAATTTAGAAACCAAAGTGACTATCTAATGGGCATGCATACTTCCAAAACTTTACCATAGATTCTTAAAGAAAGTTGTGAGAATTCTCCTTGTCCAACCAATGCTGTAGTAAAATGAATAACCACAATAGTCTCTAGACAGTAACAATATTTGACATGACCTAAACCTCACATAATAGCACCATCAAGTGAGTACTAAGTATTCAAGTTCCTTAGCCTAAGGGGATATTTCTAACAACCTACACCTTTTTAATTTTGCCCCCTTCCCCGTGAAAAAGCATTCATTTATTTATAGCCATCGCAAATTTGTGACAGTGGACTATGGCACTGTACTGACCATAGTCACTAACATTCACAGTAAACATGAATCTAGTTAATAATTATGTCATCATTGTTTTTACACAGAAGTCAGAAATATTTGAACAAGTTTTGTAATCCTGTTCAAAGATTACAAAAATATCTACAAAGGGAGCTAAGATAAGCATCAATTACGCAAAGCCATGGTTACGCTTATTATTTACCAAGAAGTAAGCAGAAATTATTGCTCTAAAATCCAAAAGAATAGATTTGAATAAAATGTGTTAGTAGATTTCTTTTCATGCCCAGAGTGATACTTGTTCTGGTATATTTGTAAGTCAGTACAATGCTTTAGACGAACTTTTCCTTTAATAGAATATAAGAATCATAGAACACTGAAAGAAAGATGGGCTTCTGCACTCAAATGGTCTCCATTTTCCTTGCTTTTTTATTTTTTTATTTTTTATTATTAAAATATTTCTGCCTTCTCCCTAACTCCCATTTCCCTCCTGATAGAAGAGAAAGTGGGAAGTAGTCTACAAGACATGGGCACAGGGGACCATTTCCTAGGCAGAACCCTGGTAGCACAGACAGTAAGAACAACAATGAATAAATGGGACCTCCTTAAACTGAGAAGCTTCTGTAAAGCAAAGGACACTGTCATTAAGACAAAAAGGCTACCTACTGACTGGGAGAATGTCTTCACCAACCCCTCATCAGACAAAGGTTTGATCTCCAAAATATACAAAGAACTCAAGAAACTAGACACTAAAACTCTAATTAACCCAATTAAAAAATGTGGTACTGAACTGAACAGAGAATTCTCAACAGAAGAACTTCGAACGGCCAAAAGACACTCAAGGTCATGATCAACCTCCTTAGTGATCAGAAAAATGAAAATCAAAACAACTCTGAGATAACATCTTACACCTGTCAGAATAGCTAAAATCAAAAACACTAATGATAGCCTATGCTGGAGAGGATGCGGAGTAAGGGGAACACTCATCCATTATTAGTGGGAATTCAAATTTGTGCAGCCACTTTGGAAATCAGTGTGGTAGTTTCTCAGGAACCTGGGAGTCAACCTCCCTCAAGACCCAGCAATTCCACTCTTGGGAATATACCCAAGAGATGTCCTATCACACTACAAAAGCATTTGTTCAACTATGTTCATAGCAGTACTTTTTGTAATAGCCAGAACCTGGAAACAACCTAGGTACCCCTCAATAGAAAAATGGTTAAAGAACGTATGGAACATATACACACTGGAGTTTTACAGAGTGTTGAAAAACAATGACATCTTGAATTTTACATGCAAATGGATGGAAATAGAAAACGCTTTACTGAGTGAGGTAACCCAGACCCAAATAGAGGAATATGATATGTACTCACCCATAAGTGGATTCTAGCCATAATTAAAGGACACTGAGCCTATAATTTGTGATCCTAGAGAAGCTAAATAAGAAGGTGAACCTAAAGAAAATCATATAGTTATCCTCCTGGATATTGGAAGTAGACAAGATTGCCAGGCAAAACTTGGGTGCAAGAGGGTGGGGGGGGTTGATGTAAGGGGAGATGGGTAGACAAAAGGGAGAAGGTGAGGATTTGGGAAAGTTTGGGGGAATGGGATGGGTGGAACGGAGGAAGGGTGGATATGTGAGAAGGGAAGTAAATATCTTAATTAAGGGAGGCTTTTTAGGGTTTGCAAGAGACTTGATTCTAGAGGGGTTTCCAGGTCCAAGGAGAGGTTTCCAGATTGTTCCTTGGGCAGCAGAGGAGAAGGTGCCTGAACTGGCCTTGTCCTATAGCCACACTGATGAATTTCTTGCATATCACCATAGAACCTTCATCTGACAATGGATGGAGATAGAGACAGAGACCGAGTATGGAGCACTGGACTTATCTACCAAGGTCCAAATGAGGAGCAGAAGGTCTGTGATGAATTTTGATGGGATTGTGATGGGGATTGCATTGAATCTACAGATTGCTTTTGGTAGAATTGCCGTTATTACTATGTTGATCCTCCCAATCCAAGAGCAGGGGAGATCCTTCCATTTTCTGGAATGCTCTTCAATTTCTTTCTTCAAAGTCTTATTGTTCTTGTCAAATAGATCTTTCATTTCCTTGGTTAGAGTTACCCCAAGATATTTTATGCAATTTGTGGGTATCGTGAAAGACGATGTTTCTCTGATTTTCCTCTCTGCTTCTTTATCCTTTGTGTATAGTAGGGCAACTGATTTTTTGGAGTTGGTTTTGTAACCTGAAACATTACTAAAGGTGTTTATCAGCTGTAAGAGTTCTTTGGTAGAGTTTTGGGTGTTTATGTACACTATCATATCATCTGCAAATAACAAAAGTTTAACTTCTTCCTTTCCAATTTGAATCCCCTTGATCCCCTTATGTTGTCTTATTGCTATTACTGGAACTTCAAGCACTATATTGAAGAGGTATGGGGAGAGTGGACAGCCTTGTCGAGTTCGTGATTTTAGTGGAATGGCTTTAAGTTTCTCTCCATTTAATTTGATGTTAGCTGTAGACTTGCTGTAAATAGCTTTTATTATACTTAAGTATGAACCTTGTATCCCTAATCTCTCCAAGACCTCTATCATAAAGAGGTGTTGAATTTTGTCAAATGCTTTTTCAGCATCTAATGAAATGATCATATGGTTTTTTTTCTTTCAGTTTATTTATATGATGGATTTCATTGATAGATTTGTGTATGTTGAACCAGCTCTGCATCTCTGGGATGAAGCCTACATGATCATAATGGATTATTTTTCTAATGTGTTCTTGGATTCTGTTTGCCAGGATTTTATTGAGAATTTTTGCATCGATGTTCTTGAGTGAGATTGACCTGTAATTCTCTTTCCTGGTTGAGTCTTTGTGTGGTTTTGGTATCAGAGTATCTGTAGCTTCATAAAAAGAATTTGGCAATGACTCTTCTGTTTTTATATTGTGAAATACATTAAGGATTATAGGTATTAGCTCTTCTTGGAAGTTCTGGTAGAATTCTGCATTGAAACCATATGGTAATGGGCTTTTTTGGTAGGATGGTTTTTGATAACAGCTTCTAATCTTCGCGACTAACAGGTCTATTTAGATTGTTCACCTGGTGTTGGTTCAACTTTGGCATATGGTACTTACCTAAAAAAAATGTCCATTTCTTTCACATTTTCCAATTTTGTGACTTACAGGCTTTTGTAGTAAGATCTAATGATTCTCTGAATTTCCTCTTTGTCTGTTGTTATGTCCCCCTTTTCATTTCTGATCTTATTAATTAGCGTGTTCTCTCTCTGCCCTTTCACTAGTTTGAATAGGGGTTCGTCGATCTTGTTGATTTTCTGCAAGAACCAGTTTTTTGTTTCATTGATTCTTTGGATTGTTTTCTGTGTTTCTATTTTGTTGATTTCAGCTTTCAGTTTGATTATTTCCTGTCCTCTACTCCCCTGGGTGAGTTTGCTTCTTTTTTTTCTAGAGCTTTCAGGTGTTCTGTTAAGTCTCCAATGTGTGCTTTCTCTGTTTTCTTTAATTGG